CTTGATTAAAAAGTTGATTGGAGAGGGGAAAACATATAAAGAAGTGCATAAAATGATAGGCTGCTCAGCTAAAATGATCGCAAATGCTTTAAAATGGCAACCAAAACCTGAAAGACGTGGAAGAAAGCGAAAAACTACCATTCGAATGGATAGAATAGCCAAAATGGCAAGGTCTCAGCCAACAATTGGCTCCAGGAAGATCAAACAAGGTCTAAAGTTACCTGTGAGTACTGTTACAATTAAAAGACGCCTATGTGAAGCCAAGCTATCTGCAAGAAGCCCCCCGCAAAGTCCCACTGTTGAAAAAAAGACATGTGCTGAAGAGGTTATAATTTGCCAAACAGCACATTGACTGGCCTAAAGAGAAATGGCGCAACATTTTGTGGACTGATGAAAGTAAGATTGTTCTTTTTGGGTCTAGTGGCCAGAGACAGTTTGTCAGACAACCCCCAAACACTGAATTCAAGCCACAGTACACTGTGAAGACAGTGAAGCATGGTTGCGCAAGCATCCTGATATGGGGATGTTTCTCATACTACGGTGTTGGGCCTATTTGTCGCATACCAGGGATCATGGATCAGTTTGAATACATCAGAATACTTGAAGAGGTCATGCTGCCTTATGCTGAAGAGGAAATGCCCTTGAAATGGGTGTTCCAACAAGACAACGACCCCAAACATACCAGTAAATGTGCAACATCTTGGTTGCAGACCAACAAGATTGACGTTATGGAGTGGCCAGCCCAATCCCCGGATCTTAATCCAATAGAAAACTTGTGGGGTGACATCAAAAATGCAGTTTCTGAGGCAAAACCAAGAAATAGAGAAGAACTGTGGAATGTAGTCCAATCATCCTGGGCTGGAATACCTGTTCACAGGTGCCAGAAGTTGGTTGACTCCATGCAACACAGATGTACAGCAGTTCTCAGAAACAGTGCTTATACAACTAAATATTATTTTTTTTGAACAGTCTAATATTCACTTTTCTTCAATTTTTTTAGAGGAACAACACAAATTTTATATATTTTTCTTCATGTTTTGATTTGTAATAGAATGTGTAGTGTTCCCAATGCATTTGTATGTATGGAAATAAAAGCTATTAGAAGGATGTTGAGCTTTATTCACTATTTTCAACACACTGCTATTATTTTGAACACAACTGTATATATCATATATCTGAAATTTTATTAAAGAAAAATAGTAAAATGGTCTTGCAGTTTATCACTCACAGTAATAAACATTGGGTATAGTACATGTATACACGATGTACAGCAAACTAATAAAAAATGTTACACTTGGAGATGATCCAGTCATGCAATGGCCCAGACAATCAGATATAGATAAAAAGGATAAAATAAGTTAATAAGTCTACTGCAGAGTACAAACCATAATCTCTAAAACATTAATTTATCACTTTGTTTTGTTTAAAAGTCAGTTAAGCTGTCAAAGTGCCTTTGCTATTGCTGCATGCAAGTTTTATATAGATAAGATTTGTGACTGAGGTCACAACTCAACATCCGCACTATAAATAGAGGAACCTTTTAATGCATTTTAAGTGTGACAACTATATATTTGTCAGTGTTAAATACTGTTCTCTGAAAGCAAAACTTTTCAGTTTTATTTTTTGTACAACGATATACTGTACAACAGACTAGTGATCTTTTAATGCAATTATAAAAGTCATTAATAGGTCATCATTTAAGTTTCTTTCCGATATAATACACTTAAAAGAATGTACCTGCATTTTGCAGTAATTATTTTATTTGTACTTGGATAGGGAGTCTTATAAAAAATGTTAGCCTGGGAAATCTTACCTATTAAAAGAGAAAACATTTAGAAACATTTACCTTTAGCTTTACGTCAACATTCATTGATACATAATATAGATTTTATTTTTCGATCAGAACAGGCTTTCAGAATATGCAAAGAGGTCAGATTTTCAATGATTTTCACTTTGCCAAATACAGGAAGAACCAATATAAAAAGAGCTTAATGTTAATAAGAAAAAGAAAACCTGAAACTAAATATGAAAAGGTGCTCTATATTTCTAGGTTTTCAAGTCAACCTATCTACAACATGATTAAAAATAAAGGTGTGTATTATACTTTCTCTTGTATACCATATGACCTCACTAACTATTTCTGTACAACCCTATTATTATGCCATAAAGACATAATGAAAGAAAAATTAAATGTGTACCATCACACCAGAGCTTAATTATAAAACGTGGAATCAGCAGCAACTTTTTATTAGATTCAATAAACTATCTTTCCTGTTCAGAATAAATAATATAACTAAAGATACAGTATCTTATGAGTTGGCAGATGGTCATTGTTTGACCAACCATTAAAAGATAATTTTATGCTTCTGTAATCCTACTTAACCACTTGACCTCCAGAAGATTTACCTCCTTTTGTTACTGGGCCATTTTTTGCTTTTTGGCACTGCGTTACTTTAACTGACAATTGGGCGGTCATGCAGTGCTGTACACAAATTACATTTATATCATTTTTTTCACACAAATATAACTTTCTTTTGGTGCTATTTGATCACCACTGTTTTTTTTTTTTTTGCACTATAAATGAAAAAAGACCAAAAATTAAAAAAAACAAACAATATTTTTTTTTAAGTTGTAAAACATATCCAATTAAAAAAAAATGAAAAATCTAATTTCTTCAGAAATTTAGGCCAATATGTATTCTGCTACATATTTTTGGTAAAACATTTTTCCAATAAGCGAATTTTGATTAGTTTGCATGAAAGTTATAACATCTACAAACCATGGTATGAATAGTGGAATTTTTATTTATTTATTTTTATACTAGTAATGGAGTTGATCAGTGACTAATAGCGTGAGTGCGATAGTATAGTTGAGCAATATGACATTAACCGACACTTTTAACACTTTGTGGGATCCAGTGACATTAAACCAGTGTTTATGTGTGTACTGTGAGGTGCTTTCACTAAAGGATGTGCCAGGTATTATTCCCTGCTTTACAAGGAAATAAAAGCCGGCACAACCCCACTGACAGGACAGAGCTCTGTATTGACTGAGCTCTGCCCTGTCTTCCTCCTCACTGATCAAGCTAAAATTAAGCTTCTGAAGACGGGGAAAAACGTGTTAAGCGGGAAACTTCCATTGATTTCACATGTGGTCACTGGAATGCCCGTCAAGGCGGCGTCTCCGGTCTGACTTTTTGGCTTGGCTTTCATCTTGTATTGTGAGTATATTCATGCTTCTAATATTTTAATTGAAAAAAATTGGAATTGCACTATATACTTTTTTTTTTTTTTTTTTTTTAAGATCATTCCTGCATGTTAATTGTACCACATTATTATTATTATTATTTACAGTATTTATAAAGCGCCAATAGTTCGCTCAGCGCTGTACATTACAAAGGGAGACAAACATGTGACAGAACAATACCAATACAATGCAAAACATGAGGGGATCAAGGGCCCTGCTCTTTCGAGCTTACAATCTAGGATCATTGGAAAGGAGTGATGGTGAATAAAGAAAAATAAAATCCGAACATATCACCTACCAAAGCACATTCTGACTCTTATTGCTGTGCATTACAGTCAGCAACTATTGGTGAGTGGGGGAGCGAAGGAGGCGGAGCACCATATTGTAATATCAGGGTTTGGAGAGTGCATAAGATCATTTTTTATTAATGACTGCAGTGATTTTCATATTTATTATAGAATACACCAATACTTATATTTATTACAGTACAGTGGAGATTGTTTTGGACACTGAGCACATTTTGAGTATTTATGTATTCATTTGTATTAGTACAGTGGAGATTGTAATTTGGTAATCACATGTGCCTGTATTTTGTAATATATGAAATGTCTAAGACATACCAGTAGAGGTCAGGACAGTAAAATTGGTCCAATATTTATTGAAGGTTATAGAACCTTTGGCAACAGCAGCAGCCACATTACACCATTATTTATTTATTATTTATTCATTTCACACCGTATTAAATTATTTGGTTTGTCACTACATATATTGTGTTTCTAGTGCAGGTAAAATAGGTAATAATTCAATATGGAAAGTACATTCAAAGACTGCAGGCCATAAAGTGTAAAGTCCACTGTTATCTTTATAACAGTTCATTAAAGTTGTGACAGGGACACTTACTATAACTGAAATTAAAGCTGCACTTTAAATCTACCTGAGGATCTTCTATGTGGATTCCTTGCATGTTAACAGCATTGTATTTATCATAATAGCACTTGTAGGCCAATGCATAGGATGGTAAGGTTGGCATGAGCAGCACCAAGCCTCAACATTAGCAAACTATTTTAGTCTTTTTTTTTTTATATTTCTTTTCCTCTTCTGTTCACCTCTGGACATTTGTGACTATATTCAGCAAATTAACTGTGTGGGTAAAGGGTTGCAGGAAATATTAGGAGGACTCAAAAGACTCACTGTAGTTCAAGAAACATGAAACTGTAACTCCTTTCTCTTGTTTAGTATCTTACAATTGAATTGTAGTTGTGAATAAGTAAAAAACAAACATTAACAGGCTTATTGAAGGCTATATCTGATTGAGCCATTGTGAACGCATTTCTTATTTTTAATATTTGTGCCCAGTGTTCTTAATGCATAAAGTTTTTGCTTTTTTTTTTTCCTCTTATTGTTACAGTTAAGGTTTCCTCTGCCTGCTTTGGAGCTGCTACTCTTCACCCCTATCACTGGACTGTTTTTAATTAAGCACCTTTAAAAAGTGGCTGTATTTTGGTGGCCTATTGCGCCCAAATTCCTTTTTTTGTGTGAATACAAAGCAGACTGTTATTTTATTATCAAGCGCTAGCATTCATTTTACTAAAATAAATGAGAGAAAAGCTATCAGATAATTATATTCAGGTGTGCCTAGGGAAGCCTAATGTTCAAATACAGCCCTGATCTGTAGCAGATTTCCAGAATAAGTAATGTCAGACACACTCCAGTGGTATAAAAAAGGCAGGAGTTTAAAAAAATTGCAAACATACCTCAAGTGCACATCCCTTGGTTAATCCTATGTTCTCAGAGCTGCTAAGTAAGTTGTATGGTGTTCGGGAGATCTCAATGTCTTTTAGGCATCCAGCATATTTATTTTTACTAACTTCTGACCTAAAGGAAAATAAGCATTATCATTATGTTTTACAAAGTGAACAGATCTAAAGACCAGAATAATTCTGTATTTGAGGTTCAAGCTTCAAATTAGAACTAAATTCAAACTTTTATTTTCTACCATTTCACAGTGCAAAACAACATTTAAACAATTGGGTCAACGCAGATAACTAGAGCTGTGGTTTGAAGCATCTGTAATTAGGAGCATTCAACCTACTCATCTTGTGCAACTCACCCCATTTTATTGCTACCACCCATCAGTGCCATACTTGCACACATAAACACCAAGGGAACAGTACAACAACAATCCAAAAAAACAATACTATTCCAAAGGTTTATGTTAGAATATGCATTTCCACTTTGAAAGCACAGTTCCCAAACTGTTCTTTGCTCAGAGTCCACCAAACAATGTGGAGCAAAACACCACTAAGTAGGTTCAGGTAAAATGTTTTTATTCCATTCCATTTGTTCAATGAGCACCCCACCTAGTATTTTCACTTTTTGATGCATTTCACCCAACAAGGGGTTAACCAAAGAGGTTCTTCTATGATTAAGCTCTTGTTAGGTAAATATGTAAGAGGAAATCAGGTGGCGGGATCAATGGACTTTTCCACATGAAATAGAGGTGTTTTAACTAAACCAGGTGTGAGTGGTTGCACAAGACAGGAAAGACTGTTGGACTGTCACAGGCTGTGTTTTTGTTGGCTGGAAAGGAGGGAACTGCTCTGAGAGATCAGTGTGCTCTGATATGTACTTTGCAGGAGGGCCGTCTTCAAGGAGGAGCAAAAGGGGCAGCTGCCCTGCACTCAGTCATTGTTGTGGGGCCCAAAGCAGCTGCCCTATACTTGCCAACCATACTGATTTACATTCCCTTATCTTATGTCCCATATCTCAGTGTGAAGAGCTGTCTCTTATGCTGCCCAGTTCTGTCTTATATGGCAATAGGACAGTACAGATGACTCATGTGCAGACCATGTCAGCTTTCGCATGTTAATAACGGTGGCATTCATATGTAAATTGCTGCAGCAATGTGACATTCATATGTAAATTATGCCCCCCCCCCCCACAGAGGTTTCAGCTACCAACACCTTTGCTGGTATTCAGTGAAAATTCTTCATTACAATGGTGGTCAGTGAAAAAAAATTCCCATTACATTGGTGGCCAGTGTAAATTTCCCTTTATATTGGTGGTAAGGGCAGAACTGCCCTTACACTGCTGTTCATTGTAAATCCCCCTTACATTGGTCATCAGTTTTAATCTCCCCTAACATTGGTGGTCAGTGTAGAAATGTCACCTCCCATCCCCATCCAGCACTGCCACTGATTTCGTCCACCCCAAGCACTTCCACTGATCCCATTCCTCCATCAGCACTGTCACTCATACCATCCCCCCCACCCCAGCACTGACACTTATCCCACCTCCCCCACCACTGCCACTGATCCCATCAACCCTCCCCCAGCACTGCCACTGATCACACCCTGCACCCGCACTGCCATTGATTCCAGGAGTCCTAAGAGATTTCTGTCTATTGGTGGGTCCCCTAACCCTCTCAGTCCATGATGTGCAGGCAGTGAAGAAATGATGTACTGTAACCTCTAGAAACCAATTAGTGATTGGTAAAGATGGCAACTGATCAGTGAGCAGCAATGATATGCAGTAACTGTTAGCAACCAATCAGCAAGCAGAAATCATGTGCTGTAACCTCTAGCAACTAATCAGTGAGCCATAATGTGTGCTGTAACCTCTATCAACCAGTCAGTGAGTAGTAATGATATGCTGTAACCTCCAGCAATCAATTGCAATTGCTGCCTGATCTGCTGCGGTAAATAATTTTGAGTTTATTGTATGTCTTAGAGCAGGTGGAGAGCAAAAATTGCATGGGGGGGGGGCAAAGAAATGTTTGTTCAGAGTCCAATCAATATTAAGGATGTCCCTGCTTTGCAGTCTATACCTCTGATGAGTGTTTAATTTAAATTTTGTGGGGTGAAGCCATACACACTAGAAGAGTTGGATCTAGTTGCAAAAGGTGGTGGAAGACACAGATCTAGGAGTGTTTTTATGCCCTCTTTTGCATCTCAGAGACTTTGCTGGTCACTTAATAAGTTGCTTGTGGACTTTCTTTCACTGTTTATTTTTCATGCACCTTTGTGTGTTGGACTTGTTATTCATAATGTATATTTTTATGTCATATATGATTATTTTAGGAATTTTATGATTTTTGTATTATATTGCTTATGTTTTATGCTTTTTTGCACAGGTTTGGTGGATGTATAATAGATTTACTTGAATGCATTTATGGTGATATAGGTGCCGCAAACACATTTTTATAGAATATTCAGGGTTTTTATATCAATCCTTTTTGCAGGCTGCCCACTACCACTTTCAGTGCTGACTTTAATCTTTGGTTTTAAAGAAATATATGTACACAGGACTTTTAAGGTGCCATATCAATATATGAAACCCATAAACCACAAAATATCAAAATTATATTTGATTGCTAAAACTTGTTCAAAGACCCATGTACATTTACAGTATTTACGTTGTTAGGAATGTAGTGCCTGGACAACACTATCAATCTATTTTTTTTTAACTTGAGATTATAACATATTGCAGTACAATCATTAAACTTGGAATATTCAATCAAAAGTGCATGTCAAAGAGCCTGACTTTTAAAGTTTGTCTAGCAAAATTCAGGCAGTGAATGCCTAGCTTAAAGTGATATCAAAGTCAAAGTTTTTTTTTTTTTTTTAATTAAAATAATTTGATAATGATATTCTTTCCTGCCCTGTGCAACAACATTGCACAAACATTGGTGGTCCCTCGCTAGTATGCTATGGGGTCACCTGTGTGGGCATGCTCCTGAGCTAGGCTGTGTGCACCCATAGACACATACAGTGCAGCTCAACCACACTCTCCACCCTCTCCTCACAGGAATTGACTGACAACATCAGAAGCCTATGGCTCCCGCTGCTCTCAGTGCAGCTTGTGAATTCAGGATAAAAGGAAAGCGGGGCTGCCAGCGTAGACAGGTAGGTGTTTAGGGATGGGGGAGAAGACCAGTAGTGGGAATGGGAATGCATTAAGGTTAAAAACACCTAGATTTAAGAACCACTTTAACTTGTAATTTTATTTCGCCAAAGAAATGCATGTAGTAAAGAGTGAATCTTTCAGAAACAAATGCTGTCTTTAAAGATAAAGGCAGTAAATGCTTCTTGTGTATGAATTACCCAGGTACTTCACTGCTTAAGTTAATCATAGTAAACGTTTTTCAAACCTTATCACTGAAAAAACTCACTATTCAATCTTCCTCTAATAAAAAAAAGCAGCAGAACATTGTGTACATCGGCACTGAAACATATCTAAAGCTTTTTTTTAATTGGCTTCTTTTGTGAAAGGAAAGTGCTCTGTTTTACTAACACTGAGATTTACTGTACATCCTATAGAATCAAGACACTAGCAACTGAAGTGTTAATGTATTTCCATCTGTAAAAGAATCAGGGTTTTTTTGAATAATAATGTTTTTTAGGTGTAAAAACATACACAGAACTTTGTAGTTTTTTTGATAAAAACAGAAAATGCTAATACAAGAAGTTATGGCATTTTTTAAAATCTCTGATATACTATACTCTGTGACATATTGTATACATATCGCAAGAATGTAAATGGGTCTTTAAACTTAGCAAACAGGAATTGGAGAATTTTCAAACTATAGTATGGAGAAAGTGAATCTTGAAAATGGGGCGATTACTTAAATCCCATGAAAAGTTTGAAATCAACAGTGCAAATGAAAACACAATAAGTCTTTCTTTGGTATTTTTTTTTCAAGCAGTTGCATTGTTTTTTGGTTTATAGCTAAGCTATTGTTTTACAATGGTAAACCACCAAGACCTGCTTAGCAAAGGACAAGGGACACATATAAAACTTGTTATTTTTTAAGCAGCATGGCGCCACTTCATAAATTGAACTTGTCACATAAACTATCTTTATTTGACAGAACAATTTATTTTGTGCATGACAGAACAATAAATTGAACTATAGTAAAATACACTGACAAAAAGATATTGTTCTTTTTATCATTATTTTTCCAGTGTCACTTTAAGAAATCAATTGATTCTGTATCTGCCAAAGCAATTGTTTTAGCGCTTTTTATTTTAGACCTGTGTCAAAGAGTTTCCAGAAAGCAAAAATCATTCAACAGAAATATTGCATTAGGTGTATAATATTTTAAGTTTACCCATTAAAGGTACTCAGTCACCAAGCAAAGCAAATAAGTAAATAAACTCTAAAGTAGCTATCCTCCAACTAATATACTACTTAATAAAGTTGTTCTGGCCAGTGAAAAACTAAACCAATTCATTGAACCATTACTTGTTTTAGTACTAGTATGTAGCCTACAAATAGGCTGTTTCCAGCACACCCTAATCACCTGGGTGTTTTTATACATTTTATGGTCTCTTTAAATTATATCGACCCCCCTGACAATTAGCTCCAATTTGATCTCTTTGGTCTATTAAATAAACCATTAAAGCATTTTGTTACATCTGTTTGAGAGGTGCATACAAGAAAAACCTCTTGATCCTACCAAAAATTCTGTGAGGTTATAACTTCCTGTGCTCTTCACCTCTTCTAGATGTTTACCTAACATGGTTCCCAGCTTTCTCTACAGAACAATTCCCCCCTATGTTATTGAAGAGAGGGGGGGTGGGGCTCTTGGGTTTAAATACATTTTAAAGGTGTAAAGCTTTACATTTATGAAGATTGCTATACAGGTCTTCAAGGAAACATTGGAATATAATTTGATTTACAATAGTTTCATAGTTTAACAACAGACTGTATATTTATTTTAATACCGCAGTAGAATACAATTGTTTCTCATTACAAAAGCCCAACAACTAGTGTTGGACTACTTCCAAGCATCAGAGCAATGGTAAAGTATGCCATTTACATTTAAAGTGGAACTAAACCCTCCTAACCTTTATAGCCAAGGAAGCTGCCATCTT